TAGACAACATTCCTAACTCCCAGCCTCCTCCCTGCCATGCTGCAGAATGGGGTTGACAGAAAGCATGTGGGCAGTGGGACCTGAAGTCTGGATGTGTGTGCACCCAATAGAGGCCATCATGATCTGAGGCCATGGCAGGGCCAAGGGTGATGGGCAGCAGACATGTGCCTGGTGTGCTTCTACAGTTCATGCATAAAGGAGAAAAGGGCACAGAGATGCCCTTGAAAGACTTAACACTGGAAGACTCCAAGTTTTACATTAAAAGTGACTAAATTACTAGTAGTTTGTAAATAAAGTTTTATTCACTTCTCATCCCCACCTCTTCAACATACACAATGGCTTCTAGTGCCACAAGCAGGACCAGGAGCAACTTGTCTTAACTGTAGCTCTGTATAACTGGGTTGTGACTATAGGTACTGGTTTCATTATATATACAGGACATCAGTACATTAAACTTGGATGGACCATACCAAGTCCTTACCCTGTTTCCCTTGTTTTTCTCCTTCTTTCTTCAAGGGGGCTCCACATCCTTCCATGAAAGGGTGCCACCCACCATTAGCATCATGTTACACCCAGGGCAGTGAGTACCGTGAACTCACCTCCCCATCATCTCCATCAACCCTGACCTATGAAACCTTTGAGATGGGACAGTTCTTGTTCCTCAGGCTTTGGAAAGAAATCTGACTTAATGACCTTTAATAGCACAGCACAGTCAGGTAGCCTGACCTCTAGACAGTGGACATGCACTGCTATTTAGAACAAATTAAAAAATCAATTAAGTGCATGTGTGTGTGTGTGTGTGTGTATGTGTGTGTGTGTGTGTGTGTGTGTGTATGCGTGCATGTGTATGTATATGCATGCACTTATGGAGGTCAGAGGACAACTTGTGGTATTTGGTTCTCTCCCTCCATCATGTGGGCTCTGGGGTTTGAGCTTATATAGTCAGGCTTGTCAGCAAGGGTCTTTACTTGCTGAGCCATCTCATGGCCCCACAATCTCCTACTATTGCACTACATGGGATACTCATAGTTTTTTAACTTTAGTGTGATGGATATATATATATATATATACATATATATATATGTATATATATATATACACATATATATATATATAATTTTTGAAGATATTCTTGTTTTGAGGAATGATGCTGAAATTCCACTTACAGAAAAAAAAAAAACCCATCAAGTTTCTGTTCTTTGAAAATGTTAGTACTAAGTCGTCTATGGGATGCCCTGGATAGGACATAGGAGAGGTAAGACCAGAGGGGCCACTCATGAAGATGACAGCACAAACTACTGAAGTTTGGTATGGAATTCTGTAAAGGGTGCTTTAAGAGTCAACAGGCGGGCACTGCGGAAAAATGTGCTATAAGCCAACCCTCCCAGAAAATCACACTGGACTGGTAGCTCTTCATTTTCCCCTAGGGTAGACTGGGCATGCTCAGAAACCATGTTCTCTTATGAACTTTGCTCACTGAGGATGCAGAGACACGAGAGAAATGGGCAAAGTCAATATATGTCCAAAAAGTGGCAAAGACATTGACGTAAAGAGTGCACTTCTCTGGATGCCTCTCCTGCTCCAACCCTCACACAGGGGAAGGAAAAAAGAGCTGACAAAGAAGCAAAGGAACTTCCAGCCTTAGAGAGTCTACGGTCAGCTGTTTCCATTGAAATTTTGGGTCACATGCCACCCAGTCTCAGTTTAGATCAAAAAAGAAGATGACAATTGTCTACTACTCATATCAAATGGGTGGTTTTTAAATCTCATCAAAACATACATGGGGAGGAGATTCAGATACCACTGGACAAATGTTTAGATAAACATTATGGTAGCCGAGTGAATTAACGTCAACATACAGTCAAGGAATAAAGACAGCAGGAGCAAAGCCTGTCCCCTCGTGTGCTCAAATGCTATGGCCCCTGCCAGTTCTTAAGCATTCAGGGACGTTCCTGAGATGCTAAAGACAAGCACAGCCGAGTTACCAAAAGTTACAGGCAAGTCAAATTTGTTTTTATAAATAAAAGGTTTGAGTGGTGCCACCAGGGGAGTCCCCGCTTGACGTGAGTAATTGTGAAGTGGTGGCATATAACATTCTTACATAAAATGTGACTTGGGGTGTTTGCACCAGCGGTGTGAGCCGACGGGTGATAAAATGCGAGCGTACTAGCGGCATCGGCCTCTTCCTGTGCGGTGAACTATCCCATCCTCACCTCAGCATGTGAAAATCTCTGTCATGATTATTCTTGCTTTGAAGATGAGTAAATAAGGTATATAGAGATTTTAAAAAGAAAGAAAAGTGTGCACATGCTACTGAGTGCTACCTATGGCACTGTGACTATCCTACATCAGAGCCAGCATTTAAGCCAGCAAAGGGGTAGACTCCAGTAACCTAGTAACGCCTGACAACGTGCTTCAAGGGCTTATAAACACAAGCCTGGCAGAGAGCTACATCTAGTCTCTTACCCCCAGGCAGCCTCATGGAACAGCACTGTTCTCACATTAGTTGTATAAATAAGGAACTTGAGGTGTTTCACAACCTCTTTTCCATTGTTGTCCCCTCCCACCATCTTTGAAGAAATCCTTTCTAACTAAGCTCTGAAATATTTACAAATCACAGGGAAGCCCCGTGTTTATCTATGGGCTGCATATCTGTCTGTGCTTCATACACACAAAGATTCAGATTTGGTCCTGGACCTCCTAAGAACCAAATTTTTGCCCCTCTGGGAAGGTGCAGCTGCCAGTGGATACAGCTTTCTGAGAACAGTGTACAGAGGTTCAGGAAATCCGTGCATGCATTCACCTCTCAGTCATTCACCTCTCAGTCATTCACCCTATCCTTCCTTCAGTACCTCAGTCATTCATTCACTCCATCCTTCCTTC